TTTTTTTTTTTTTTTTTTTTTTTTTTTTTTTTTTTTACAGGTATTCACAAAAAAAGGCGAATTCATTATGCAATTTGGTAACTGTGGCCCGGATGACAATCATTTGTACTATCCGAAAAAAGCACTGGCATATGAGTCACGAATCGGTGAAGGCGGCTATATTGTTGTTGATCGGGGCGAAACGAAAGCTCGCATGCAGCTTTTCTCAAAACGTGGAGAATTCATTCGTCGCTTCTGTTAGCTTTTATCTCATACTGTTTATGTTTTTTGCTTCAGTTTTTGGGTAGAAATTCACGCTGGTTTTTGTTTTGTCAAAAATGCAAATCCTCAGATTTTACTTTTGTTCGGCAGTGACATTCTGCACCCTGTATGTTTGACTCAATCTTCGACTCTTCTTGCGATTGTGAATATGCAGTTAAAACGATTCTTTAAAATCTAGCCATGTTCGGCCATAATCGTCGTACTGACGAGGTCCAGTTGTTAAAAAATGTATGCGACTTAATGGACGGAAACGTTTCTTTCCAGTATTCTAACTTTTCCAAATTTTAGTTACTGTTACTTTTAGTTATGTCGACTTTACTTTTCCTTGTTCGATTTCTCCTTGATTGTTGTGTCATAATTTTTAAATTTTGATTTTTTTTTTAATTTTTGATCTTTTAATTATCGACTTCTTAATTTCTTCTTTCATTTTTGTTATAAAATTTTGAAGATCAAATTGTGTAGCGGTACACTTATTTCCCACTGCTGAATGTGTTGTCTTCGAAATTTTATATTGTGAGATTGCTGAATAGGTTTTTCAGCGTCGCCGGCGGTCGAATACGTTTCGGCAATGACAATGAACGATTCGTTAAATCTGGTGGTATTTACCAGTTTGGTGAAGATGTATTTTCTGGATATTGATCAGCTGGAACCTCTCGTGCTTCGGACTGTTGATTGTTCGAAATTTATCGGTGAACCCTCGGATGTTGCGTTCTATCGAAATCGTTATTTTGTCACTGATTACAAGCATCATTGTGTTGCCTCACTGAATGCAGAAGGTAGACTCTTGCGATGGAATTCCTGGATTTTTTTTTTTTGATTTTTTTGAATTTGTGTTATTGCCAAGCTGTTTGAAGTATCATCCGCAGATCCGAAGAGAATGTTAGGGACTTAGGCACTAGAGTTGGCGCATGAGCGAGAAATCAGGACGAACAGATTTTTTTTTTTCAAGCACAAAAATTTGGTCTCAAACTTAGATTCCAGTTCTCCGTAGATCCTTTTTTTTTCTTGGCGGTTTTCCTTTGTCTTATGTCCTTTACTGCCCCTCGTTCCCTTTCTCCTTTGCTTTGTTTTCGATGTACAAAATCATGTCTATGGCATTGGGCGCTGCACCCGTCCTCGGTGTCCTATAAGCACATTTTTTTTTGCGGGGGCGGGGGGTTGGAATATGCGGGGCTTGATATTTTACAGGTCACATTTCGAGATATTGCAAGAATTTTAGTCTGCGGGCATTGCGCAATGAGAAGTAGCAATGTTTTCTTGGAGTAGGTCGAGGATCCGACTTTACTAACGGAACAGCTGATCACTCCGTTACGATTCATTCGTTTCGGTGGTAAATTGGTACACTGCATACATATGTTGGAGAGTTAAAACTGCTGTCAGCGTGCTTCTTAGATCCATCAGTAGCATTGGCTTTGGCTGGTTTCCGATGAAATTTGCCATCACTCGGGCTATTTCCGTTGTGTTTCCAGTTTTGAATGATATTTGTGACAGACAGCATAGGGTAGCAATAAGCGAGCCGCAGTGGAAGAACTTTGGGATGAGATTCTTTGCTGATTATGTATGCTTTCCGCCCGCCTCGCTTTACATCTCGAAGAGTTTTATTTAGTTATGTGATGTCTAATTATTTTTTCACTTTCAGGTGAACTATTGTGCCGTTTCGGATCGTACGAGACCACACCATATCCAATTGGCATCGATGTTTCGCAAAGCGGTGATGTTTTAGTGGCTGATTCTCACGGCAATCATTTTCATATTTACTGCTGCACCACCGAGGGACATCGTTTGCAGGAATTTGAATGCTCGCAATTCAAAGTATTCCGTTCATTTGTTGTTGTAAAAATTTTCAAGATACAAACAGCGAATATTCTTAGCAAGGAGATTGGCAGAGAACGGGGGCCTGAAATCCTCTGTGTGTTAAAATATTCAGTTTGTTTGGCGTTTGTTGGCGCACTGTGGAAAGGGACACAATCGAATTTTGACAATTAATGAAAACCTGAAAGTGGCATTTAGATCTTCCGAATAAGCAAGCCTGTATGTGCAGTGGCTTGGTAGCCTGTCTATGTTTCATCCCCGAGCTGTAAACACAGATGGCAGAAACTGTACGAAATGGGATGGGAATTAGTAAATTCAGTAATATCAGCACTACCGGCTCAAGTGGTAATAGTTAGGCTTGCAATAGGGGTAGCGCCTGCCTCTGAATTTTTCAGCCAAACTGCGAATTAGCCTTAGCTTGTGGAAA